AATTACAATAGTCCAGCCTTGAAGTAACAAATGCATGGACTAGTTTCTCAGCTCCAGTGGATTGTTTTTTTTTTTTTTACTTTTTTGGAACGACTATGACCTGGATGACTGAGAATCTTCACCAGCACTTTTCAAGCCGTGTGACACACAGACAGACCGACAGGGACACCCCACCTCCCCAGGTGCTGATGGGTGTCACCTGCCAGCAATATCCAATAATAATAATAATGCTTCTACAGGAAGCATCTGTAAGGAGGGATTTTTTTCCTTTCTTTAACGGCTCGTCACGAAGCGTGGCTCTATGATGTAAAAATGTTCTGGGTCTACCTTGTCTGGCAGTATATCACCTCTAGCAGCTGGTGGAGTTAATTCCAACTGTTTAAGAGATTAATTTGCTATAAAATGTGCGTATTGCTCCTTCTTTAATGGGGGGGACATTGGCAGACAAAGACAACTGCCCCATGTTGAAAGACATTTGAACTTTCATGATTCTTGTTATTTGTATCTTTCTTTTATTTTACTTTAACTTTGATAATATTGTTTTCAGCCTAATAACTGCCGTCATTCCCTCCATCTCTGTGTCCTAGAACCTCTTTTTTTTAGGGCCGCTCTCCTACTGCATGCAAAGGCCCGTGACAGAGGCATATAGTAATCGTTTCTTCAGTTTAACTTCAGCCTAGCCTCCATATTTTAAAAACTAAAGTTTTCTGTTCCTCTGTAGCTTCAGTTAAATGATTGAAACTGTCTGTTTTTCCTAGATTATCCTTAACTCCATGCATAAGTACCAGCCCAGACTCCACATCGTCAAAGCTGATGAAAACAACGCCTTTGGATCGAAGAACACTGCCTACTGTACCCATGTCTTCCACGAGACCACCTTCATCTCAGTAACATCTTATCAAAATCATAAGGTATACGATCCTTTACGAACAATCTGACGTTAGCTTTGACTCTGCAGACTCCATAAATAAACCTGACATGAAAGTCTAACCTATTACAAACGTTGAACCTCTTACATCCACTGTTCCTGACTGACAAAGTGTTTGCAGAAGGTGAGAAACGTTATTTAAAAGAGCTGGTTTAAAACTTTCCCCTGTGATACAAGCTGTGTGGATGGAAAGGAAAGTGAGCTGGAGAGAAATCTTTAATGTTTTTAGATGAGCCGCCAAGCTGTTAGCATCAGTGTGTTATGAAAAAAAAATGTCTGTAAAGACCTCATAAGAACATAACGTTAAGAGAAACACTGTTTTACTGGTGATTGTTTGGCTCAATGTTTGGGGTTCAAAGTCGGTGTTTTGGAGCAGCAGTCATAGACCCTGACCTTCATGACACGGAGCATCTGAAGGCAGAGTTTGATGGCGCCGGCGATGATGGATGAAACATGACTCGGCGGTACCTGCTCAGTCAGGAGGAATGAAACGATCCGGAGCGCCAGCAAACTGTTGATAGAAGCTGATATCTCCATAAATCTGATTTCATTTAGAGATGAGTCCTTAACATTTGCATAAAATCTGTTTTTGTAAGGTTTTGCTTGCTGTGGATAAACTGTTGAAATGTTGGTCGTTCAGCCGTAGGAGACGTGATTAAAATCAACAGTTATTGCAACAAATGCATTTGGCTGTTGTGTCCGTAGCTTAGCAACAACAGAATCGATTACATCACATGTAGTGGTGGCAACAGCAGAAACTGAAATATAAATGGTTATGAACAGAACATTGGTAAACTTTAAACGGGAGAATAATATGACTGAAAACCAACTGGCAACAGTTCAATATCTGGGCTGCAGTGAGAATGACATCACAGTGACACGATGACATCATCTGTTGTTCACAAACACCACCAACCCCCCTCCTTTGAATTTTCCAGTCTTCTTTAAATCTGTTTGCTGGTCAGAAAGGCAGGCAGAGCGACGCTTGAGTCTGAGATATGATCCTGCAGCCATGTTTCAGTAAAACACAAAACACTGCATTTATGATATTCTGTCCTTGATGGGGCTTGGAGTTCCTAAAAAGAAAAAGCTTTTAAATGTTCTGCTCCTCTCTCTCGTCATTGCTCAACCATCTCAGTACCTCCTTTCCAACTCAGCTGGTACCTGCAGAAGTACAGTAGCTGAAGTAATATTTCACTTTTAGAGACGTTAATGAGCTGCAACAGTTAAAACAACCTTGCTGTGTTATGCATCATAAAAAGTGTCCAGAAATGAGAGAAATATTGCTAAAAAAGGAGATGGGTTAAATGCAGAGAGTGAATTTCCCCATTGTGGGACAATAAAGGGATTTACATCTAATCTCAGATGGTGAGAAAAAAGTTTCTTTGTGTGTTAATATGCAGAGTATGTTCAGTATACTTCTGGTTAAGTAGACCACCTTGGTCTCCTTTGACCACTAAGAAGCTGAGCTCCGTTTGATCCACATAAACTCTCCAATAAGTCCTCCTCTACTTGTCTGAGAGCTGCATGGATGTTCTGTTTCATGTGAGTCATCCCCACATCAGATCTGTGTTTGATCCAAACAGATAATCTGGAGGATCTCTGCCGTCCTTCAATGCTGTCTTACCTTCACGAGTCTGTGCCTGCTTCAACACCGAGGGGCCTTACAGTCGATTAGAACTAAGATCCATTTGGCTCTGTAGAAACTATGGCAGACCTTTTGCTCTCAGAGCTCCTGTTCGATGCATCATACCTGATCTAACTGTTGCAGCTTCTATATTTTTCAGATCACTCAACTGAAGATAGAAAACAACCCATTCGCTAAAGGTTTCCGAGGCAGCGAAGAGGGGGACCTGCGCGCCTCGAGAATAGAGGGGTGAGTATACACCGAAGAAATGCTGATTCTTCCCCCGTCTCATCCTGTTCTAGTTCTACAACATGGTAACCCTACCCTGTAAACATTTAGGGGGGTGATGGACCTCTGAGGGCTAGTACAAAGTTAACCCTTGATAGGGAACAAGCCAAGCAGGAATAGTCTCCATAGCAACGAACAAAAAATTCCACAATAGCAATACAAAACCCCCGGGAACAGCTGTCACCTAATTTTCATGGCCTGAAACTTAACCAATGAAAACATAAAAAGCTAAATGGTGAAGCCATATTTATCATACACTTTACAATCTAAAGCTGCTGTCACACCATGACCATTTAGAACAGCGTATGTCTGACGTAGGAAATATCTGGCTAAAACGCTGGCATACTTTGGATACGTTATGGTTACGTTTAGTATCAGTTATGAGCGTGCTGAAGTACGCTGGAACACGTCGACATACGGCGAGTACGCCCCGGCGTATTCCAGTGTCTGCCATCCGTGGTCCATCAGTTCCAGGTCAGTTATCTGATGGCTGACATCCGTTCAGCATCAGTTCCTCATCAGTCGTGGCGTCTAGCTGATCCTAAACCTCTGAGTAACTTCTGCGTAACTTATCCAGAACTTCTCTCCAACATATCAGCGTATCTGCCGTGTTCCAGACGAGCGCTGAATGTGTTTCTAGCTTCCAGCTACTGTATAATGGCGTATTGGCAGCGTTTTGGTATAAAGGGGGTTCACAGGAGGAAACCGTCAGTTCTCCTCCAGACTTCATCCCCATCATAGGGTGAGCCAGAAGGTGAGTGATGGATCCTCCCTGCGTTCACGCCCACCACCAACACACTTCCTAGCAGACGTGACGCTCAATCTGCTGCCACCAGAAACCTGCTTTCTTTCCTTTTCTTTTCTTTTTTTTATTATTTATTGCTTTTTTTTCCTGGCTGGCGGTAAACAGCAGCTACCATTATCAAAGACATCCTTTTTTGCAGGCCGGGCGCCTCCAGGTGCATCGCTGCCCCCCTCAGCACAATGGATTGTGCATCATTTCTTGGGCATTACGCTGCCGTGTGTTATGCAGAAGTTAGGCTGTCGTTGGACAGAAGTTCTGGACTCGTTATGAATACTGGCATCTGCCAGTGTTTTAGGAGATTCTGGGACGTCAGTCAGACACTGGAGAAATCATCAAGGTGTGACAGGAGGCCTAACATAGCGGAAAATGCAGGCAGTACCATGCAAATCATATAAATGATGGGCTTATTCCATCATCCACGAAACGTACATCTGCCGATGCTACTGCTATGTGAGCAGGTTTTCTCTAACAAGGCAATGAAGCCTTCATGGTTACAGGAGCATCTGTTAAAAGACAACCTGACAGGCATCAAAAGACTCGGCTTACTTCCAGTCCCTCAGGTATCATCATTTAAGTCGCCCTACAATCAACAGCATGTTTGTTCAAAGCGTCAATAAGACACAGTCTTTCGGTGGCGACTCACTACTGACAGCAAAGGCCGGCTTACCGCTCACTGTGGGGGAGCCTCTGGTTATTGCCGCTATAAAGGAGGCCATCTCCACAAAACAAAACACAAAACACCTATGAGCCTATAGGCCTATTTAAAATACAATAAAAATAGATAGGAAAATAGATTGAGATTCACTACTTTATTGTAACATAGACTTCAGACTTTTCACCTCTTTGACTTCTTTGGTAAAATGAAGGAGGTCACATTGAAGCTCCAGAGCGATTGGGTGACACTGGTTCACTCCAACATCACCATCTGCAGCTTCCTTCCAAAACTGGAGCTCTTCCAACAAACCTGACGATGCGAAAATGACTTCAGTTTCCATAGTTAGCGAAGTTGTTGGTTGAGCTGACAGATCGCCACCTTCTGCTCTATGCCGACCACGGAACGCCAGTCAAGGCCAACATAATTCGCTTCAGGGACCTGGAGCAGTTAGATGTGCCAGACTAGGTGATGGAGCCATGCCAAACAGATGCTGCTGAATGTGAGTCGAAATGAAAGAGAGCTCATTGATGAGGAGCCTAAAGTCATGTTCCAGACCTCCGGCCGGCGTGCAATGAGGGTTCCACATGGGTTCTTTTCCCCCGACTCTGGGAGAGTGTCCGTCACCTCTTCCCTGCTTTCTCCTCTTCCCTGTATCTCATTAGTATTCAGTCAAGCTCTCCACATGCAGAAATATCGGAAACCCGGTTAGCTCTGGCGCAGTCAGGCTAAACCTAACTTCCCAGCGTCCAGAAGAGCTGGAGCCTGCAGCAGCCCAGCGAGAGCAGAGCTCTCACTCATAACGTACTGCTCATCCCATAAAGTTGTTCTTCTTTTAAAAGGTCTGTTTCCTTTAGCATCTCAGCCCTCAGTTATTTTTCTAAACTTTAATAAGCCAAGACCTAATCGGATTTTCTTTCCCCTCAGCATTCATTGACATGTGAGCGATTCCTGTTCTTTCACTGGTTAATGGTGAACGTCATTATATATCAGTAAAATAAATGCTATTGTAATTTAATATTTCATCTTGGGTTAAATTTTGGGATGTCATTAATGCAACTAGGGAAAAAAATGTATATATATAGCAGAAAGGGCTGCTCAGTGGCGCAGTGGGTAGCACTACTGCCTTGCATGTTCTCCCTGAGCATGGTGAGTTCTCTCTGGGTACTCCGGCTTCCTCCCACAGTCCAAATACATGACTGTTAGGTTGATTGGCTTCTCTAAATGCTCCTTAGGTGTGACTGTGAATGGTTGTTTGGGTCTATGTTGCCCTGCGATGGACTGGAGACCTGTCCAGGGTGGACACCGCCTCTCGCCCACTGACTGCTGGAGATAGGCACCAGCACCCCTCGCCACCCCACTTGGGATAAGCGTGTCAGATAATGGATGGATGGATGGATGATGGATATAGCAGAAACAATGACCTTCATTTCTTTTTTAAAGCTCTTTCCAGAAACGTCTAAGTAGCAACTCAAGATCTCAGGGTCACATTATAATTAAAATAACATTTCCATGTTGTTTAGCACTTTATCCAGATAAGGAACAAACTTGACCTATTATGTCTCAAAACATACAGTCTAGAGGCAATGTTTAAAATATAAGACTTCTGAGGGAAATCCAGTCTGATTGTGTCCTCTTCCTGTTCCTGGTGTCCAGGAAGGATTATCCAGTCATGTCAAAGAGCGTGGTCCGTCAGAGAATCATCTCCTCCCACGGTCACCTGGCCGGGAAGCTTCGGACCGGGGTTCTGACCGGCCATTCTCAGGTCCTGTCGTCTTACCCGTATGACACTGGGGCTCCTTTGACAAACTTGGATTCCCAAGATGCTCTCTCCAGCCCCTTTCCTCCCAGCAGAGATCCTGGTGTAGTTTACCACTGCTTCAAACACAGAGGTACGTTTCTGTTCTCATTAGGAAATACTACTAACGCAGTCCACCCTCATGGCAGCTGATCCCATCGCTTTGCAGATAACAGCCGACACCTGGAGCTTGGATGCAAGCAGCCGTATCTGGAGTCATCCTCGCTGATATCTGAGGAGCGCTTCTTCCGTTCAGCTCCGTCTTACGAGTCGCCCCTGCTCTCTCGCCCTTACTGTGCCGACGCCATCGCTTCCAGAGAGGCTTGCATGTACGGGGGGGTGGAGGCGCCGTCCGGGTCGGGATCAGGGGACAGAGACGAGCGAAGCGGCTCTCCCGCGGTGAACTGCAACATGTGGGCCCCGATGCAGCCGTATTCCCGGTACAGCGTGGACGGCGTCCCCTACCAGCCCTTCCCTCCTCACTTCCCTAACCCCGCCCCCGTGCTGCCACAGCCCGCCTCGTCCATATTACCCCGACCACAGGCCGACTTCGGGGTCTACAACTCAGCCATGGTCCAGAGGAGCCTGCCTGCCGTAGCGCAGTCACCCTCCTCTTCATCAGGCTCTGCTGCTCTCACTGGTTCCAGAGACACAACCAGTCATCCTCCTTTGTACCACAAAAAGCCCGGCTCCGCTCTCCAGCCTCTGAAAGAGTTCTCAGCCTGTTCCATACAGGGGATGATCCCCGGCCGGGATCCCTCCTATCAGCACCAGATGGGGCTGAGTGGAGCCGGGAGTCACTGGAGCGACGGCTAACTCTGCTCCAAGACGGATGTTAGGACGGCTTTCTAAAGGCCCGGGCTGTGGACGGTGATAACAGACTCTGCTGACCCATCTCTGACACAACTGGGTTCTAGACACTCGGTGTCCACCTCCTCATCTACGCTGGTATAAAGCACATTTCGCAAAACCTGAGATTCAAATGTAAACCTTGGGTGAAAGCAGCACAAAGTGTCTCCTGACACCCACCCAGGTTCCAGCCGGTAGGAACGTAAAAGCACAAACAAGAAAAGGGAAAATGATCGATTCATTGCTGTCAGTAATGATGCTGTTCCAGCTGCTGCCATTTTTTATAGATGAACTCCTGATACGGTCAGTGAAGGTCTCCTGGGGGACTATCTACAGCATGCATGCGCAGCAGGAGAAAAACATCAATAACTGAATCATAGTGGCTTTGTTTTCTGTTGATTGGATTTTGGTACCAAACAGAATAAAGAAACATTTAAAGCAGAATTTCCTCATGAATGACGCCGTCAGCTGAGCTGCAGGCGTTTCTCTTCACACACGACAGAAAGCCTCTCCGCTCAGCCTTTTAAAAACTGCATCTTTATCTCAGCATCAGCACCACAGCTGGAAACACTCTTTAGTGCAGAAGTGGTGGCTGCTGCTGAGTGAAGAAAACTCCAATGTATCCTCAGTTAAAATAAAGTGAGAAGACAGTTTAAGGCTTCTTGATGTCCCAGAACGCACAGAAGAACAGACAACTTGGAGAGTTGCTTTGTTCAAACCCTGAACTCCTCAAATCATGAGGAGAGTTCAGGTAAAGGTCGACTTTCTACAGGTGGGGCTTCACCTTCCAGAGCCGATAGAAATAATGACAGGAAGGAAAACTTCTTATTTCTGTAGTTGATCCCCGTTCTTTAGGAGGAAGAACAAACAAAACAATCTTAGAACTAAAGATTAGAACGCAAAGTCTTCATCCAAATCCAACATTTATCAAAGAAAATCATCATTTTCTTTTAATTCAGAGCAAAAGCATCAGATTAGTTCCTTTTCTTAGTTTTCCAGCAGTCCAACAAAAGACTAAAGACGATCAAACGACCCCCCCCATTCCAAAGGGGGGGATCCGTTCATCCGTTTCTATTTGCATGTTTTCTAAACTAAAACCAGGCTTTGTTGGGCTGCTGGATAAAACCTGGAACTAAACGCTATTTCTGACATTTTGAGTTAAAAAAAATCTTCCTGGATGGAAGAGTAACAAAGTCCAGTGGATTGATTTTAACTTTTCTGGATTGACTGACCTGGATGACTGAGAATCTTCACCAGCAGCTGGATAAGAAGAACAGGTTTTTGTTTTTTCCTGAAAGAACGTTCCTAAAGCAGGAGTCTGTGTGACGCCATGCAGCATTGGCCGTCCCTCAGCTTGATGACGCTCCAGAGCGTCACCCAAGATATGACCAGCTGGGCCGAGGGATGCAGTGATGACCTAAAGTTACGTACCGACACATGCTGAGAGGTGAAACAGCTTGACTGAAGCTGCAGCTATAGGTGCTGCTTCACCATCGGAGGGTCGTAGGTAATGCTGACGTTCTGGTTCATCTCAGTGGCTCATCAGCTGATGATCTGTAAAGGTGGAGCTGTTTGCTGGTAAAACATCAGGCGGGAGGAGCAGGCTGCACCTGCTGCGCTGCTGTGGGTCTTCATGTTTCATATTTCCATCTTTTCTGCACATTTCTGATATTAGTGTTTAGATTTCAGGCTGAATCCTTTTATATTCACATAAAAACACTGCAACTAAAGGAAATAATCCACAATGTAAAGCTTTAAATCTCTATATTTAGTGTAAGAATAAAAATAATTATACATTGCAAACAAACACGAGACACAAAGAGCAGCAGGAATCAAACTATGTCCCCCCCCCCCGAGCTGAAACAGGCACCTCCTTCCTGTGCATTTCTTTACCAAAGGAGACTTTGACCGACTGATTGGTGAAAAACAGACAATCGATGTTTCTCTGAGGGACGGAGACGGTTTCTCAGACAAGCAGAGATCAGAGAAAGCAGGTAAGCGTGGAGCTCAGTCCTCCGGCGCCGTCTGACCACGAGCCAGGGAGCAGAGGTGGACGGCTGCTGCCTTCAGCCACATCTGCAGACAGCAAAAGGACAAGGTTAGGTTTCTGAGGTTCATGAGGACGAAACGTCCCGATTCTCCTGCAGTAAAATGTGTTTCAGACGAGGTTCTCTCCACATCAAACGGAAAGCAGCTGACACCAAAGATCCCTGACTTTGCTTTAATAGTCCAAGTTTTTCAGTCGAAGCTTTAATGGAGCATCAAAGCCGTATTGAAATGGATGTTATTGGCCTTTCAGTCTCATTAGAAGAAGCCCAGTTTTAGCCCCTCATGGAGCACAAAGCAACCGTGCTGGTCAGTAATAAGAAGCTGGAATTAAAGTCCATCTGGAAGTCATTGAGCTGATCTGGCTGCTTCCCTCTCCCCTGCATCGCTCTGCCCTTCCCTGCTGTCGTCCCATAATCCCACCTAAGAGCCGCCTGGGCTTGGTTGCTCCATTCCGACACCATGATGGGCTTAAATTGGCCTCTTGTAAAAAGAAAGAGCTTTGGTTGTTGGCTAAGCCGCTCCAAAGGGACACTTTAAATATCGAAGAGGGATGTAATATCAGCTCCATTAGAGCTTTTCTGGAGCACAGTAAATAGTCAATTAGTGGATATTTTTGATGTGATCCACATGCAGAAGGTTTTGTCATGCGAAGAAGCGGAGCGGTTCCGTGAGGCAGAAAGCTTCACAGCAGATCAGCTTCAAAGCTCAGATAAGCACCAGTCTCTGCTTCCCTCCTCCATTAAAAAGATCCACGTCCTTCTGGAGATCAGAGTCAGCAGGAACTGGGCCAGACTGGGTCCAGGAACGGTCAACTGGAACCAGCAGGACAAACTAATAAGACGTGCTCTGATTAACCGCTCAGGACGCAGACGTTAGCCAGTCTATACTGGGGAGTAGAAGCACCATCTGATACCTACTGGTTTGAACTGGTTGTATCAGTCAGACCCAAATGAAACCAGGACTACATCTATGATGGGATTCCAGCTCATCGCCTGAACCACAGAGCCTCTGCAGGCTCAGCTCTGCTGGGATCACAGAGAACCAGAGTGGGAAGGATTCCAGAGCAGCTCCTGCAGCTTTGGCTCAAATTAAAAAAACATTTCAACATTTAATGAATAATTAGGAAAACCTGTCAGGTGACAAATAATCAGAGACACTGTTCTGTCAGACCAGCATACTCTGTCAGACCAGCATACTCTGTCAGACCAGCATACTCTGTCAGACCAGCATACTCTGTCAGACCAGCATACTCTGTCAGACCAGCATACCCTGTCAGACCAGCATACTCTGTCAGACCAGCATACCCTGTCAGACCAGCATACTCTGTCAGACCAGCATACCCTGTCAGACCAGCATACCCTGTCAGACCAGCATACTCATAGTCAATACCTGTTTATCTCTTAAGTTTATCCCTTTTGTACGAAAAATAAACTTTAAACGTCCTGTACGGGCTTATATCCATTTAGTCATGTACAACAAAATCAACTGAAGCTCAGATCGTCACACGCTTCAAAAAACACCACAAAGTAAGTAATTAAATAGTTTTTTTCTACATGACTAAAGGGATAAACAACAGCTAAGGTAGTTTAAAGTCTATTTTCGTACTAAACTAAAGGGATAAACGGGTATTGACTGTTGGTATGCTCATTAGACGGAACAGCGGCACCATTTCTGTTTGAAAGGAGAACAAAGACACAGACTGATCCGTTCTGACGCTCTGCATCAGGCTGCTGCCTCTAAAGATCCAATCTAAGCTTCAAATATCTACATTAAACTTTGGTTTATAGTTAATGTTGGAACATTCAGCCTGCATGTGTTCCGGTACGGATCGGCCCAAACCGATCTACTGATTAATACATTTCCTTAAAATTAGTCCTTCATTCAAGTGACTAAATGCAATGGAGAATCTCTCCCCTTAGAATAAAATTATTAGATATTTCACGCTGCAAAAATGATCTTAAAATAAATAAAAGTATTTATTGTAGTCGGCCTCGGCAGATGGCCGCTCACACTGAGCCTGGTTCTGCTGGAGGTTTCTTCCTGTTCAAAGGGAGTTTTTCCTCTCCACTGTCGCTACAAGCATGCTTAGTGTAAGGGATTGCTGAAGAGTCAATGAGTCGATGCAATCAGCTGGTTTTCCTTAGATAGAAAACTTTGAATCAATCTGACTGGATGATCTGGTGAACTGGAAAGTGACCTGAGATGACATGATGTGAATTGGAGCTATAGAAATACACTGAATAGAATTATAGTATAGTATTTACTGTTAATTTAATTAGTTAAATAAGATGATCTGCTAATGGAATTAGTATTTTTACTCTATTAAGCTTTAAATAAGATAGACAAAATATGCTTGAAACAAGAAAATGCAATTATTTTTTCTTATTTTAATTAGAGCAACAAGTAATGATTATTTTGCAAATCGATTAATCTGTTGATTATTTTTTCAATTAATCGATTCATAATCTGATAGCCAAAGGTTCCATATAGAAGACTTTTCACAAAATTAAACTAGATGAAACTAAAACTTTTCCACTAGAGGAGTTCTGGATAGAGCAGATTGACTGAAGTTTTTCTTATTTTTTACTTTATTCTTTAATAGAAAGAAAACAAACATTCCTTGACAGCCTCACAGGTTGTAGATGACAGCGCAAAGGCAGGAAAAAAACAACCCAAAACCCTTTGGTCCCAGAAAGCTTAGCAATAGGCTATACATGACTGAAAATAAAAAACAGTAAATAAATAAGTGAGCATTTAAGATGTTACGGCGTACTGTCAGCATGTTGCTATGGTCGCCGCCTCTTTACATAAACATCAGATCTTAGTTGTAGTTGAGCAGTTAAAGCCTCCATTCCTCCCTCAGCTTCTGTTTCTGCAGGCGGCTGTGGATTCATCCATTTTCCTAGCAGTCATCAAGAGTATCTATATGCTTTAGGTCTATAGCTTTCATGCTTTCAGGAGTTTGATCGAATAGACACTGATTTGAGGTAAAGAGTGTAATAATTCCCAGAACTCCTTCCAAACAGGAAGCATCGCCGGGCGGTCCTAAAATATGTTTAAGCGTCTCCAACCATTCCTCATCCTCTCCAACTATATTCTGCAGCTGGATTATCTACAAATGTAGAAACCATGGAAGGCGTCCTGAAGAACCTCGTCTTCGTCTTCCAATCAAACTCCCTCCACATGTTACTATGGAAACCTTTATGACATCATTGGTCTCCAATTCCCCATCTTCCATTACAATATTTACCTCCAGTTCCCAGTCCTTTCTGATATAAAGAGTATTGTCTGGTATATCTAATAACAGATTTCTGTATATATGGGAAACGTGTTTTTTATTGGGTAGTTGAGAAAAG